AAATCGTGCCCATTGGCCCCCGCGACGTCCAATCTATTACATTAGAATTCAAGGAGTTAACGGTGGTGTGATTCACGGGCTGCCTCTTCTGCTTCACAAACCGCCCCTGGCACAGCTGCTAAGGGGCAGTGCATCTAGGCAGACGGCATGCGGTTATCATCAGAACGACCTTCTGCATCCCCATTGAGCGCGGGTACTCGATAATGCATCAGACCTACTGGCTCACCAGGATCGCGGCCCCAATCGATTACATCGGCTTCGTTAAGATAAGCATGCCTCCGGATTGGTGGGGTTGATGGCCTCCCTTCATCTCTATCCCGGTAACAGTGCATAAGCAGATCCAGTGGGTCCTGTTTGACAGGGTTCGAGAGTGGCCAAGTACGTAGCGTTTCATGGCCTTCAATGAAGACCAGCTCGACTAAAGGTAGTAGTTTGTTGGGCGACTCGAGGAGCAACCAGTGCCCCTCACCGGTAGTACCAATAATGTACCAGATTCAGTGGTTTTGTACCCATCTGGCAATCATGGCACATAATCCGGGGAAATCATAGGAATCTAACTCACAGAATTGCATGCCGTGGATGTGGGGGTGTCACCAATGGAGAGTCAAATCTTTATTACCATGAGCCTGCACCTGGCTTCCCCACCGCCGGGACGGCCGGACCCAAAGGACACGCACTGTACGGGGGCGCCCAAGGAGTGCGTTCCAATCTGTACTATTACATTTAGTAAGTAAAACTCTAATCTTACGGGGGAGATAATCTAACCTGTCAGCCATTGCCAGCGGTATAGTACAACAATATTGTCTGGGGGCGTCGCCTGGACCTGCGGCAGCTGTTGTTGAGGGGCATTCTGGCCCGCATTGGCAGCCTGGACTTCTGCAGCCTGTTGAGGAGCATTTGGACTGGCATTGGCGGCCTGGACTCCCGCCGCTTTTTGCAGAGGAGTATTCGGGGAACCTTGAGGAGCCGGCCCTGCGTTTCCCGCCAATTGGCCAGGACGCCCAGGATGCGGCTGGGTGTCGAGCTCGATCCCAGGATGCACGGGACACAGAGGATGGGAAAGAAAGCCCAGGCGCGTCAGGACGCAGCGCCCAAGGGTCAGACACAAGTGATTTTTTTGCTGATGAACACCTGAGCCTCTACCTTTGAGGATGGATAATGCAAGCACTTCCCAGGCTGTGTAAGTGGCCATTTCCAGATTATTTGACTTCAATTGAGTGACTAACCAGTGGATAAATAAATGGTAACCCATTTCACACAAACAACCCTGGTAATAAAGCAGTAATTGAGATCTCTGAGGACTACAATATTCCTTCATCCTTTGCAGAAAAAGGTTCAAAGCCACGCAAACCTTGTTCATGTCTGATTGAATGGTCCCCAGAGATGACTACAACTCTATTGCGTAAGCTTGTTCAAGCCATTAGATCTGGGAAAAGATCGGATAATGGCTTCAAGAGAGAGGTCTGAAACACTGTAGCAGAGAGTATACAGAAGGTGACAAGTACTAGAGTTCCAGTCACAGGAGAGAAGTGTCAGGGAAAGTTAGAAATATTGAAGAAGAAGTGGAAAGTTTGGACATGATTGAAGAATTTGAGTGGGTTTGGCTTTGATGTTACCACAGGGGCTGTCACCACAACAGATGAAGTCTGGGATATCGAGGTTAGAAAGCAGCCAGCGATTCAGGAGTTTCGTGACAAGCCAATAGCTAACACTGCGGAATTGGCTGAAATTCTGGAAGAGACCCAAGTGACTAAGCGTCGTGCAATTTATCCTGGCATTCCCCATTCAGCTTCAACGGATCTCAAAATCCAATCTGAAGATGATGCTCTTCTTCCTGATCATCTAAATGTCGAAAATAGCTCTCAACCAACGAAAAAACATAAGAGTTGTGATGGAGAACAAGTCAAACCATTAGGCCGTATACGACAACGCTCTGAAACTGCAACTGAATGCCTCGCCCAAGCTGTACAAAGCATGGTCACTGCGCCACTTCCTTCAATACCAATTACGTCCGTAGTTTACCAAGCGGTTTTGAGGTTTCGTGAAGACTATCTTGGCAAGCCTGGTTGGTCAACCCAAAAGATGCTGGCTGGATATGAGCTTTTTGAAAATCAAATTAAAGCTGAAATATTTCTAGCACTATATGGAGGTGAGAAGGAGGAACTGTGGTTACAGCATCAAATTTCGTAATATCAGGGGTAAACCAATTTAAATGTAACTAGATTAATCAAACTCTCTGCTGGTATTGTACATAGTCAATCCACATTTGCCTTGCCTGCCTGTCCCTTTCCAAGACCATGTTACTCATATCATGCTCCTGTTCAAGTTCTATTTTCTTTTGACTACCATCCAAGGCATTGACTGCTACATTACTACTTGTATTATCTATAAGTTGATCAGTCTCCTTACAGAACTTATCATCCTCACCATTCACCTGATAGCGAATAAAGTTGTACAAAGTACAAACTATGAGCACTAGGTTTACTTGGGTGTCAAGATCATCCTCAGGTGTCATATTGAGGATATGAAACTAGCGTCGCAAGACACCAAAGACTCTCTCAATCACATTTCGCCACTGTGAGTGACGCAGGTTGAAAAGCTCCTCCTTGGTTTGAGGACGTACTCAAGCTAGGGACTGTTCACGAAGATAGTAACAAACTGTACAGTATGGTGTAAGAAGGCCTGGTTGAAGTCCATATCCAGCATCTGCAAGATATGAGGTATTCTCATATCTTGGAAAGCCATTAAGTTCTGTATTTTCCAGGACTCAAGCATCGTTTGCTGAATCCTCTTATCCTGGGCAAATGTAAAAAAAGTACATATCGAGACTGCATCCAGCGAGAACATTTTGTGAGATATTACCCTTATGATTACAGTATGCGCCTTGCTGATCACTAGGAATATGCGCTAGGATATAAGTTCCATCAATGGCTCCACGAATGTCACTGAAGTAGGACATTTTTGCCCAATCTTTCCGAATACGGGCAGGGGTATTATTTGGCAGAGGATGAACAAGTGCATCACACAATGGCAGTAATGCATTGAGAACTTTATCGAAGTAACTATATAATAATTAGTATAATATAAACTACATAAGGAGTGTATCAATAATTAAATATAACTACCATGAAACAGTATCCCCACCATGTTGAAATAGCTCTTGAGTCTCTCTGTTTGTTGTTCCATAACCAATCATCTATAAAAATATTACCAGCTGCTTCTTTATGGTTATATAGCAGCTTGAAGCAAGTAGTTCACGTTCCAGAATTCAGTCGTAAAGATCCAGTAGTGTAGTAATAGGCATTCAAATATTTTCTAGTGCACGGTATGGATGTTCAGATAGAATCTCTTGCATGAAGAGATAACCAGTTTGAGTCGATATATGAACTGGCTGCCTCAAGAGGTAATAATATGCATAAAGGGTAATTCCTATAGCAATCCGTATTTATCTTTAATTCAATGCTGTATGAAATGCAGAAATATTAGTATTGGATAGTATTGTGTATTCTGGAGCTTATCGAATTGATTGAATACTGGCAAGTATAATTATCATTTAGGACATACAGTTAAATTTTAATTTTATTCTTATATATATAAAGAAGAATTTACATTTACTATTTTAATTGTCAAGACAGTCTTTTTTGAAATGGTCAGTGTTGACCATTTCTAAATAGTTAGTGTTGACTATATCTGAATAGAAGGGTTGATTTGAGTTTACCAAACACTAGTTTCATTCTGCAATTTCGAAATAGAGCGGAACGGTCATTTGTATTGAGGAATGGAACCGAACGGTCATTGCCAAACAGGCCCTTATATCTTAAGAAAATCCTCCATGATCACTAATACAAAAGAAAGTCCTTGGCATCGCATACAGCTGTGATCCCTCTATCCAGTTCTATCAACTTCTGTCATGCAGCAACGTGTTTCAATCATGATATAAAGAAAATCTCACACAACAACTAAAAGAAACCACAACCCATATATGTAATGAAAACCCCACTACTGGTTCCCTCCTCCTGGCTGGGTGGCCATGACACCTATGTGTTATCCTTATATAAGATCTTAGAAGAAGCTAGTAAGTATTATAATACCATTAAGAATGAATCTAGAATAAAAGTAGGTAATTAATATTGAAGTTATAGGGCTTAACTGACCCACCTACCTGATCTTAATCCAATTAAAAATATCAAGTCTTTATAAAAGTAGGAATGCCAGTATAGTTGTACCTCAAATTGTTGAGATTTTAGCAAATTCCCTTATACACAAGAGGTAATTGTTTCTTTTATACAAGGCAAGTAGGACCTGCAAATAACTGATGTTTCAATTTTAGTACCGTATATGGCTGTCGCAGGGTTGTAGAGGAAGGAGCAAACACAGGAAGGAGGTGATAACTAACTTATAAAAGGATTGTTGTAATCTCCGTTTTTTCCCATGACTGTGTATTCAACCATGAAAATCGGATTCTTGTTGTTACACTATTCCTGTCTGGTTAGAGTTAGGATTCCCTTGATTTCTGATAGTCGTACTCGAGTAAAGTGGTTGCACCCTCAGCGAGATTGCACCCACAGCGAGATCCTGACATAATAATCTGCCAAGACATACGTAGGTTTGAGGAATGATTTTTGGTTGGTAAGGTTGTGGTGTTGAGCTGAGGCAGAGTGGAGTGGTTTATCTCATGTAGGTTAGCAGTGACCGATCTGCAAAAAAGGAAAGACTTGGCATTTTCTTACTTATACAAATCTCGCTGAGGGTGCAATCTCGCTGAGGGTGCAACCGCTTTAGAGCCTACTAATCACCATCCTTCCGATTACTTACCCATACACCGTGGTCTCATTCCGCCAATGATTGGATAACTTCCCCTCTTCGGAACCTGTTCCCTAAATCTATCACGCCACCACCGGGTCACAGCTACCCCCCCCCTCAAACTGCCGAAAACCATTATGCAGCGCCCACACTAATCGTAATAAAGTGACGTTCATGACTTCCATTGCGCAACGCCCATCCAAATGAAAAGCTGAACCGCGGCGGCGTCTAGTTGCCACCTGCTGTGTTCGCAAACGTCACCCCATTCCTTGGATAGCACGGCCAGGCGTGTGGGTGAGAGCATTCCCACCCGCAGACTATATAAGATCCGGATCAAGTTCGGGCGAGGGAGGCCAGAGTCTATTCTCACTCTGCTCTATCTGTGGATGCATCTCTGAACGTTCACTCTGGAATAAATTGCACCATGTCTCTCTCCAAGCACGTATATCCCCCGTTCCTTCCAGGCGTTATCCCCCCCAGTTGTCCGCAATTATGATTGACCTCCGCCCAGGTCGACCCCGATGAGCTTATAGCTTCCCTTCCCAAACATCCTACCAAGCACCAACCTCATCTTCATAGGCGAGCCATACATCACTACATCTATGGATCCCGTTACAGCGCGGAAACCGCAATACCGAAGTTTGAGATACCTCGCCAAGGCACTGAGGCGGGAAGTATTCACCAGCTCATCAAAGATGAGCTTGATCTCGATGGTCGCCCCAACCTCAACCTGGCTTCATTCGTGAATACCTACATGGAGACTCATGCCGATCAATTGATGATGGAGAACCTTGCGAAGAATCTTGCCGATGCGGATGAGTATCCTGCTCTCATGGCTATTCACGCTAGGTGCGTTTCCATGATCTCGAATTTGTGGAAGATCCCCAAGGGGCAAACTGCCATCGGCACTGCAACTACCGGCAGCAGTGAAGCCATTCATCTTGGAGGATTAGCTATGAAGAGGAGATGGCAAGAGCGAAGGAGGGCAAATGGAAAGCCTGCCGAGAGGCCCAACATCTTGATGGGCGCCAATGCTCAGGTAGCCCTTGAGAAGTATGTTCTTACCCCTATTTCAACTCAAGGCTAAAAATTGAATACTAGATTCGCCCGTTACTTCGACGTCGAACCTCGGATCATCCCTGTTCGCGAAGAGTCCCACTGGTGCCTTGACCCCTCTAAAATCCGCGATAATATCGATGAGAACACTATCGGTATCTTCGTAATTCTCGGTTCAACATACACCGGCCATTTTGAGCCGGTTGAGGAGATCTCCCAAATCCTAGATAAATACGAAGAGGAGACTGGAGTATCGATACCAATTCATGTCGACGGTGCCTCCGGCGCAATGGTAGCCCCGTTTACTGGCTCCCAAGGGAAATGGGGCTTCGAGCTCCCCCGAGTTCATTCTATCAACACCTCCGGCCATAAATACGGCCTTGTTTACCCTGGATTAGGCTGGATTATATGGAGAGGCGAGGAATATCTTCCCAAAGACCTGATATTTGAGCTTCACTATCTGGGAGGGACAGAGCAATCATACACCTTAAACTTCTCTCGCCCCGGCGCTCAAGTGATAGCCCAGTATTTCAACTTCCTTCACTTGGGAAAAGATGGTTATCAAGCAGTCATGCGAAATGCTCTTAGTAATGCCCGCTTCTTGTCAAACGCCATTGAAGCAAGTGGTTGGTACATCTGTCTCAGCGACATCCACCGAAAACGGGGCGTCTATGGGGGAGGTATTAGGAAGGGCGTCACTGAGGGCGTCAAAGAGGGCATCAAAGAGGCTGTCCTTGGCGACGATAATCCCCATGTCTACAATGCTGGTCTACCAGTTGTAGCCTTTAGGCTCAGTGATGAGTTCAAAATGGAGTTTCCGCATGTTAAGCAGGCGAGCGTTTCCACACTATTGAGAGCTAAAGGATATATTATTCCTAGTAAGTTTGAGTTCTGCCTTATTTCCTTAGCTGCGCCGTTCTAACCAACTCACATATTACCAACTGCCACCCAATGTTGCGGAAATCGAAATCCTGCGAGTAGTCGTCAGAGAGAGCATGTCGCTAGACTTGATGGATAGATTGATTGGTGACATCCTGCAGGTTACCGAGACACTAATGAAAGCCGATTCAGTAGACCTAGAAAGTCTAGCGGCTCCGAGCTATGCGAGAATCGAGAAGAGAATTCAGAGCATGGGGCTCTACGAGAAGCCGCAGCAAAGCGCGGGCGTTGAGGGGGTTTTGAAAACCGTTTGTTAGGAGCAATGAGGGGTCTAGTCAACAGATAACTATATTATTTCTTATGCTGTTTGGCGGGGTTCGATAAAAAAAATGCCATTTTTCCGCGCAAGTTCAACTTTCGCAAAAACTCTATCCCTTTTGACTGGAGAGCATAGATCATAGAGAAACCTTTACTGGCACTGCAGCTCGGGCGCTGAGCATGAAACCAGGCAAAAACTAACACAAGAATAATTATTGAAAGTTTCCAACCACAACCGCATCTTAGGAAGATATGGCTTCATAGAAGTGCTCATGAGACACCACTCTAGTTTCTGATTTTCAGATTTTCAATAGGGGGTCTCTACAACGAGACCTAAGTAGTAGTAATATAAGTTAACAGGGCTTGGCCACCTGGTCGAGGTGCAAAAACCCTAAGATTGGAGCTGGAATTGGGAACACAAAGACCCACTTTCGCTGTACTTTCATGCCTCCATAAGAGTGCGATTTTGTAGCCATTCTTCTCAAGCGCGATCCTAACAGAACGGTTTCAAGATGGTTAAAGAATTAGCTACCGTGACCGCATGACCGCTTGAAAGGATCGGGTTTAACAATTGTCGGAGATCTGATAAGGAAATTGATGGGAGTGGAAACTACTATCAACATTGTTAGTAACTCCCCCCTAGGTCCGGCAGCGCAAACTCTATTAATCAGAGCAATATCCGTGGAGATGGTTAAATTTTTTGAACCATTCATGTTTGGTCATTTTCCGGGTCGTCTTGGTCAATTAACACTATTTTGTATTTATTGTATAAGCGGTACCACCGATGCTCCCGTCCAGGGGGGTTGGTCAATGTTTTAACAAGCTGCTACTCTTTTCTTCTACATATTCACTACTCTCTAATGTAGGAAGCGTGGATTATATATTATATCCGAGTACCGATTTCAATTGCTTAGTACTATCTACGAACTGATGAGACATGCAGATTCTCGACCTTCCACTACAGGCAGTTTGAGCTACAGGTATTAGCAAGAAAATTACTAACCACCTACATGATATTAAATTCAGATCTAGATTCAAATTATCTTAAAGTAAACTATAACAGAGTATAAAAATCAGAAAGAAATATTTAACATTGCCTGCACCCAACAGGGATCCAGCTCCCCAGGGGGGAGGGGGGGTGAATGCACCTTGGGTTTTGGTACTCAAAGGATGCCCAGCGAAGACAATGATCCAAATCTGAGCCAGGCTAGTGATGATGGCCAGGCCACTGACCCTGGTAGCAACAATGGTGAGAATCAAGGCCTGGCAGATGATGATCACAACCCCCATAGTGTAGATGCAGGTACCAGAATGGGTCAGAATCTTGGCCCTGCTGCCGTGGATGGTCTGAATAAGGACTCAGCTGCCAACTATGGCCAGGACCAAAGAGAGGCTACCAAGAGTGGTCAGAATCCCCACCTGGGAAAAGAGGATCATAAGAATGCACCTCAGACTTATGGTGTTGGACAGGTCCAACCAGCACATCCTACCAACGCGGTTTCATCTTACAATTTGCAAACAGGTTAGCTCATTTCTAAAGATTCATGTATATTGTTGTTTGTACTTACTGACTGCAAAAACCTAGACTGGAGCATGCTGCTGAGATGGCCTCATGCGGTGCATACCGTCTGGGTCCAGCTATCAAGACGTGGTCAGAGTATGCATAGAAACGAAAGGAGGAAAGCGCAAGCTGCTTGAAACTACCTCTCTCTTTTCTGGCATCCTCTCCATATCTATAGAACCAAATTTGGTGACTTAGATTCCTATGGTATCCAAGAATTGTATGTAATGATTATGAGATAGATGCCTCAGCAAGGGTTTTGCTATATCCTTGTCGCAACTGGCATAGGACGCAGGAAGCTTGAAGTGTTTCCAAAGGAACTGCTATCGTCAGTGGACGTTGTCTTCATCAACAATGATGAAACCGTGTCCCTGGCTGCTATCAAATCCAGTTCTGAGGGATCCTCTAGATCTATTAGTATATTGTTATCGTGATGCAGGAAATGTGAGATCCCAAAGACCACCTTGGAAGGGAAAAACTTACCTTCCCAAAAACACAGCATTCAACAGGAGCAGGGACAGAAAGGCACACAATGGTCAGATGCATTTTAGGAACCCGCGAAGGGATGCCAGAGCAGAAGAACATCATGGTAATGACCTGGTAAAGGTACCTAATTAGGACATCTCACCAGGAGTCCGGCTGTTGGGATTTAGTCCAGACGTTGAGACATCAGGCTATGAATGCAGCAGTGAAACTGTGCAAAATGGTGATCCAGGTTCTGAATCAAACTCGCAAGATCTTATACAATGCTTTAATAAATGTCTGCTATTGTAACTTAAAAGATAGAGTTTCGTAAATAGACAATGATCGCTGGATTTTCTGCCACCTCCACTAGCTGAAAAAAACCAATAGAATGCGGGTGCTTCAATTGATGTTGAGAATCTGGAGTTGCCAAAGACGAAAAAACTCCGCTTGTGGTGATAGGATACAATAGTAGTAACTTCAGATACACACTGACCCATGGTGTCATGTGGATTGGGGTTTGAACTCATCGTGACATCGCAGCCTGCATCTACGAGTACTTGAGTAGAGGTGGTCTTAGCTCATATTGCAGCTAAAAAGGTTAATTTACTGTCTTCACAACGATAAGGGTCAATTTAGCTAGTCTACTATCATTTGATTTAGAGGAATTTGCATGAATTTACATAAAGTGTATGTTAAGAGAAAAAACTGTCTGATATAGGTGGATGTCTGAGTGAGGCCTACATATACACTCACGCATATGCTATTACTTACTGGAGTGACGATGATGGGGAGAGACAGTGGGGTTGTAAGAACACCCTCTTCCACCTCAGGCTTCTTCCCTTGCTTCCTCTTGCCTCTACACCATACTCCCTTTCTTAGCATTTGCCTATTGACACACCACCCTCTGCTGTCCTACCTAACCTCCCCCATCCAGAACATATCTGCCATACATCAAGGTTGTTTTCTTCATTTTTGACATCTTGCGTCCGGTGTCAATTGTCCAGCTTTTTTTTTTTCTTTCCTTCAAATATACAAACCTCTCTGGTGTCCCCTCCCCTAGTATTCAAAAATGCTAACCAAAACTATGCAAACTGCCATTAAGCATAGGAAGTATGTATCTCCGATCAAATAAGTTATATCCGACCAATATTAATTTCTCCATATTTGTCAGATGTCTAGCGAGTCAACCAGAATACGCCGAGGGATCAGCCAAATAGAGAAAAGCTCTCCCCTGGGCTGCTACCATCGCTGGTGTGAGTTGTACAGGACCCTACAAAAAACCAGAATTCAAACCAGATATTGAAGATGTAAAGTTAGCGAAAGAACTCCAATCTACATACTGAGAGACTAGAAACTCACATGTCTGAACTAGGGGACGCTATAGGAATATTTCGTACACAAAAGGTTGGTGTGGCTTCGCCCAATCCCATTGCCTAACCAAGCTGTTAAAGTCCCAGCAGAAGCAAATAAGAGCATACATCACGACTCAGGTTTGGGACTTGACAAGCCTGAGTGAGGCCCAGCTGAACTCAGTAACTTCTTTCACCCATTTACTTCCCCCTGTCCCCAGCCGCATCAATGAAATTGAAGCCAGGTATGACCCCAATGGCATTGCAGAACTGGTTTATCAGATGAAGATCTTGGTCAAGGATACAGCCAAGAAACTTCAGACAACGAACGAGTATCACAATGTGTGCGATGATTGTGGTAGCGACATTATTGGACATATGAGTAAGTATTATGCACTATATGTCTTAAACTATCATAGTAGTAACAAATATTCTTAGTGGCCAAACCCAACTGGTCCTCTCCTTACTACCTGTGGGTAGTAAGGATTCACATCATTCACTGAATAGGTGCTCCCCCTGGTGAGCATCCATTCTTGGACCACTAGTGGTACTACTCTCCTGATGGCGATCAAGGAGTGGCATGAGGGGTCCTAGAATCTCTGTGTATATGGGAAGTGCTCCAGATAATCAAGGCCTAACATGTGGAGAAGAAGGTAGGGTACACCAGGTACCTGATTGGTATGACAGGTCAGGGTACCTTGTCACTGTGTCTAAAACCCTGAAACTCTCTCTCTCTCTCTGATCTCATCTTCTTACATGAAGATGAGGATGTCTGTATTTGGTTCCTTGCAAACTAGTAGGACGGTAAAGAACTCCTTGACCTCATAGTCCTGGAGTCATGTCAGGGGCAGGGAGAGGAGGAGGATGACCAGACGCCTGAGCCAGCTGGTGGCAGATGTTGCTTTTTTGACAGAAATGTCTGGGCTCACTATATGCTCACTCAAGGTACCCGGGGGGCCATGCAAGAGGAGGAGGCCGATAGCGAAGATGAGAGGTCGGAGGATGAGGATGAGGATGAGAATATGATGCCACCAGGCATACGAAATGCAGTTGTTGTCTTTGATCAAACAGTGGTATGATTTAAGAGTTGACGTACTTGTAAATGTGAACATTATGGCTAATTCCAAATACAGGATGACAAAAGGGATGCAACCCCTGCCTCTCCAAAACCTGTGTCCTGAGGCTGTTACCTCCCTCTACCACAAGAATAAACCCCTACCCTCAGGCTCCCGGAAACCTGTGTCCTGCCAGTATTGCATCTCCCAACGCTGAGAACCAACCGCTGCACCTCAGTAGCCAGTGTCCCAGGGCTGTTGCCCCCCCCCCATCGTGAGACCCAACCCCTACCCTCCCAGAATCTGTATTCTGTCAGTATTGCCTCTCTCAGCACTGAGAACAAACCCCTGTCCCCTATGAACCAACTCAGGGGGAAAAGATAAAAGTGGTCAAGGACATGCTAAAAGAGAAACCATAGATGTTAGAGTTCATGCTGGACATAAGAACAGCCCCCAACTCTCAGAGTCTGCACCCTAGTCAGGTCAGATCTGCGCAGCCCAGCGGTACTGGGCATGACAGTACCATTGACATCTTATCAGCTGAGCCACCTGAAAGTGAGGTTCATAAT